AACCACTGTATAGATTTTTCTACATCCTTCCATTTCCTCTTTCATTTTCTATTTTGTTATTGTCGTACAATTCTTGTTAAACGTCATTCCTCTTTCTTTGTTATTCCCTCGCCTGTATATGTGTTGTTGTTATTCCTCTTTCTTTGTTATTCCCTCGCCTGTATATGTGTTGTTGTTATTGTAAGTTTGTTTACTCAAGTTTGTTGTTGTTATTGTTCACTCAGTAAGTTTGTTGTTGTTATTGTTACTCAATGTGTTTGTTGCATTGGTAGATTGTTCGTGATCTAGGTGTTACCAGATCGTCTAGAAACTTCTGTAGCGACAGGCAGGGCTCATATAAATAGAGGGAATGGAAAGGCAGTGAGTCAGTTGTGAATCAGATCGCGAATTGAAACCGTCGTGTAAAGTAAAGTGCAAAGTAAAGTTGTGTGAATAAAATCATTGTAATAATCGTAATCCGAAAGAACCTGCGTTTTTATTTGGTACGAATTGTATCGGGAAATAAAACAACGTCTACACGGGATTTAGTAAAACCCAAGAACGTAACAATTGGTGTCAGAAGTGGGATTACGATAATACTACGATGAAGTTTAAGGATCTACGAGTGGAAGACTTGAAGAAGGAGCTCAATAAATTGGAATTGTCCTCTACTGGCAACAAGGCTGAGCTACAAAAACGTCTGTTGGATGAGTTCGAGCGCCGTGGTATGAACATCTGACATATGAGTTTGACAGCAAGGATGAAGTGGATTTATCGGAAATGGGCGAATCCAACGGTGGGGAAGTCTCGTCAGTAGCTGCCAGGGTTGACGATTTGAGAGAAATGCTGGCTAGAATGTTCGAAGAGAATGCCAGAAAGTTTGAGGAAAATTCCAGAAGAAGCGAAGAGAATTCCAGAAAGTTAGAAGAAAACACGAGACGTATGTTCGAAGAGAATTCCAGAAAGTTAGATGAACTCAAGGCAGAGAATTGTAGAATGTTTGACGAAAATTCGAGAGTAATGAACGAGAAACTCGAAAACATTACAGAAGTTATTGGAAGGAGAGTGGAAACCGTGGAGATCCAAATTAAAGAGTTGGATAAGAAAGTGCAGTCGGTTGACGAGAAGATTCTGTCTGTGGATGAGAAATTTCTGGCCCACGACCACAGGTTTACGAATCTGGAGAAGAAAATGTCGGAACTGGAAATCAAAGGTGGTCCGGTGCGAGTTCCTGATAACACACTAAAAATAAAACCTCCTGTATTCGACGGCTCTACGTCATTCAATGTTTTCAAGTTACAGTTCGAGACAGTGGCTTCTACAAATTCGTGGAACGACAGCGACAAAGCGGTTGCACTACTTCTGGCATTGAAGGGCAGTGCTGCGGATGTTATACAGAGTATTCCTGTCGCTTCTAGAAGCAACTATGAAGATGTTATTGCTGCACTGGAACGTAAGTACGGTGGCGGACATAAACAAAACATCTACCTTATGGAACTAAGGGGAAAAGTACAGAGGGCAAACGAGACGCTACAAGACTTTGCAGCTGAGGTGGAACGTTTGGTGCTAATGGCGTATCCAGGAGAGAATCACCCATTGCTGGACCGTATGAAAATCGAAACCTTTGTGAATGGCATACGTGACCCTGAGATTAAATGTGCAACATATGCGTCACCAAAAGCGTCGTTTGCCGAAACTGTGTCGTTTGCCCTTGCCCAAGAGACGGCAAGAATGATTGTTAAGCCCCAGACCTACAAGATTAGCCAACTGGAGACCGAATGTTGCGAACACAAATATCTCGTTAACTTGATCAAGGACGCCATGAGGCGGGTAATAGAAGAAACAAAGTTAGTAGGGATGACTAAGCCCAGGGTTAGATGCTACAACTGCGATAAAGCAGGTCATATTGCACGCGAATGCAGAGCTAAGCGCAAACGATCCAGGTCATCGTCACCACCTCCAACGAAAGATGGTAGAAGAATGGCTCAACAGTCCACCAATGAGTCACCGTTAAACAGAATCGAGCACAGAGAAGGCGGAAAACACGGTAATGCTGATGCCCTGTCTCGTCGGCCATGCAAGGTAGACTACAGCCACTGCTCAAAGGCTGAGTGCAAAGAGAATATCGTGGATGTCCGACGATTGCAGTTTGAGTCGGGAGAAGATTGGTCGACGGAACAACGAAGAGATCCCATTCTGGGCAAAATAATTTCGGCCATAGAAACGGGCAAGCGACCGAGTCGCAAGGAAATTACCTCCGAAAGCCCTCTTTTAAAATCTTATTGGGCCCAGTGGGACAGTCTACTTATAAAAGATGGCTGCCTATATCGCAAATGGGAAAGTGAGGACGGTAAATCTCACCGGAACTTGATCGTCGTCCCAGACTCCAAAATAAGAGATGTCTTGTCGGAGTTTCACGATGGGCCAAGTGGAGGACATCTTGGCATAGCAAAGACCGCTGAAAAGGTAAAGCAGAGATTCTACTGGGTCGGCTGTCAAAAATCCATTGCCGACTGGATCGCCAATTGTGAAAGGTGCATAAAAGCTAAAGGTCCAACACGGAAGAGTCGAGGCTACATGCAGCAGTATAATTCAGGAGCCCCTTTTGAAAGAATCGCAATGGATGTAGCTGGACCGTTCCCCACAAGCGACTCTGGGAACCGGTATGTCTTAGTGGTCATGGATTACTTCAGTAAATGGCCAGAGGTTTATGCTATCCCAAATCAAGAAGCCAGGACAATTGTGGATGTGTTCAGCAAAAATTGGATTTGTCGCTATGGTGTGCCATCTGAGGTTCATTCCGATCAAGGTAGGAATTTTGAATCAGCGATCTTCAAGGAAATGTGTGACTCCTACGGAATTAAGAAAACCAGAACGACGCCCCTACATCCACAATCAGATGGCATGGTGGAAAGATTCAATCGCACCCTTGAAGAACATCTACGGAAAGTGGTGGACAGTGGCCAACGAGACTGGGATGAGCATATTCCAAAGTTTTTATTGGCTTATAGATCGGCCATTCATGATTCCACATCCCGGACCCCAGCCAAAGTTCTGTTCGGAAATGAATTAAAGCTACCTGGCGATTTGATATTCGGTGCTACCCCAAACGACGATGTGAACCAAGATGAAGACAGCCAAAACTCTTTTAGTAAAGTCCACGATGCAGTCCGACATCGAATAAAAATGGTTAGCAACCGCATGAAGGCAAGGTACGATCGAGCGGCAAATACCGATGGGTTTCAAGAAGGGCAACTGGTACTATTGTTCAACCCACAACGAAAGAAAGGACTATGCCCCAAATTGCAAACGCACTGGGAAGGACCCTACAAGATTGTCACGAAAATAAATGACGTCGTTTATCGCATCCAGAGGAGCGACAGTCCCAGGTCGAAGATGAAAGTTGTACATTTGGAGCGGCTGACCCCCTACGGAACGGGAACTGTGCCTATTCGGGACGAACAGGCTTAAGCGGGGGGCAATGTTACGAATATAACTTTAGATTTAAGTTAATTTAGATGAATTCCGTTAATTTAAGAATTTGAATTGTAACGTAAATTTCTACTACGCAGTTTATTTGAATAACTTCACAACAACAACCACTGTATAGATTTTTCTACATCCTTCCATTTCCTCTTTCATTTTCTATTTTGTTATTGTCGTACAATTCTTGTTAAACGTCATTCCTCTTTCTTTGTTATTCCCTCGCCTGTATATGTGTTGTTGTTATTCCTCTTTCTTTGTTATTCCCTCGCCTGTATATGTGTTGTTGTTATTGTAAGTTTGTTTACTCAAGTTTGTTGTTGTTATTGTTCACTCAGTAAGTTTGTTGTTGTTATTGTTACTCAATGTGTTTGTTGCATTGGTAGATTGTTCGTGATCTAGGTGTTACCAGATCGTCTAGAAACTTCTGTAGCGACAGGCAGGGCTCATATAAATAGAGGGAATGGAAAGGCAGTGAGTCAGTTGTGAATCAGATCGCGAATTGAAACCGTCGTGTAAAGTAAAGTGCAAAGTAAAGTTGTGTGAATAAAATCATTGTAATAATCGTAATCCGAAAGAACCTGCGTTTTTATTTGGTACGAATTGTATCGGGAAATAAAACAACGTCTACACGGGATTTAGTAAAACCCAAGAACGTAACAATATTTATTATTTGGTCACATTTTATATTTTTTTCAATTTTGTTACTCGGTTTTATTCAGTTCGCTAAAAGATATGGGCTTGACGTATTTGGGTAATACGGCCGTATAAAACATTTCGCCATAATGGTGAATTTGAATATATTTGTACGCTTCGTTGGAATTTAGGTAACGTTGTTAAAACAACAAAATTTTTACTGGATTTTCGACCTAATGAAGAACAATTCCTAATAAAAGTTGCCACTGAAATTATGAAAGTAGTGAAATACGTATATAAATAACAGATGACCAATTAACTTCATTTAATTTTAATACTAGTCTAAACAGCTATGATTTCGTACCGCAACGAATGGCTCAACGAATCTATTGTGCTTAAAGGGGTAGCAGAAAGATGGGCTAAGCAAAATGCTCGCGTTGAGGCATCCGTCGCGTTATACAACAACCATAAAGAAACGATAACAATAAGGCTTGGGCTAAATGGACTACCTATTTATTGTGTCATGGAATAAATAAACAAAAAATATGTTTATTCGAAGCAAAATATACGTGAACAATACTTTCATTACGTTTTTTGAAAGATATTTTGAGTTTTTATCCTGTTGTGGTCGGTATTTCACGAACCATGAACAAAACGATTGTTCTTCAAAATACAGAAATTTGCATTCATATGATTTTGTTTTTATTTTTAATAACAACTGCATTTTGACAGTTAATTGTGCCAACAGCTGTGCTGATGCAGCTACCGGATTAAATTTGTCTTGAAGTATAATGTGAACGATATGGCCACATTGGACAAATTATCAAGTCATTGTGTCAAGTCATTGAATTTCTTGTGTACAGTGTACAATTGCAAAAAGATTGGTGAAAAATAAAGTAAATATGGAGACTTTACTGCCAGAAAAGGTAATTTTTTAATATTAATAATAATTGAAACATAATTTATTATTTTTTTTTTTTGTTGCAGGAAGAGTTATTCGACTTCAAATTGAAAGACGCACACAGTTCTCTAGACGAATTGGATATAGATGATTTGTATGTACGCTATAAGGTATGATGATATGAGTGTTATTTTACCGGAATCATATTGATACTAATAGATCAAAACATATTGGGATTTTATAGAAATTACAAAAAACTTTGGAGTTTTTGGAAGTTCAGGAGGAGTATATAAAAGATGAACAGCGCAATCTAAAGAAAGAATATTTACATGCCCAGGAAGAGGTTAAACGCATTCAATCTGTACCTTTGGTAATTGGTCAGTTTTTGGAAGCTGTTGACCAAAATACTGGTATTGTTGGATCCACAACTGGTTCAAATTATTATGTTCGCATTCTTTCTACCATTGACCGTGAATTGCTGAAGCCCTCAGCATCAGTTGCCCTTCACAAGCACAGTAACGCCTTGGTCGATGTCTTGCCACCAGAAGCTGACAGCTCAATTTCTATGTTACAACCCGATGAAAAACCTGATGTTAGTTACGCTGATATTGGTGGTATGGATATGCAAAAACAGGAAATTCGCGAAGCAGTAGAACTCCCATTAACACACTTTGAATTATACAAACAAATTGGTAAGTACAATGTTTACGTTTTTACTGGAAATAGTCCTTTTGATACAGATTATCTTCACATCATAAGGGTTGAGTTTAAATTTGAAATTAAAAGTATATGCTCGCGTGTCCCACTTTCCTCCAGTCCCTGCCGAATTCCTGAGTAAAAATTTCAAACGTTTAGGACTTTCGAAATACATGAGCAGACTTTAAATATCTCTCACCTGAATACAAGAACATGCTACAATTCAAAATTATTGTAAAATATTTGGGAACAACTCTAGTTTAGTAAAAACGATCAGATTTTTCTGAAATTTTTTTCCAGAGGTAGGTATTTTTGATCCACAACAGGTACAGCCACATATCGCACCATTTTGGAAAGGGCAAATTATGGTCTATCATTTGATTATGGTTTGGAGAGGAAATATAATGGACCCAAGTTCGACTTTTAGAGAGTTTTTCAAAAAAATCGGAGACCAAAACCCAGTTTTTTTTACCACTCAATGGAAAGGTATTTTTACAACCTTTAAAATGATACCCATATTAACCGGATCCGTAGAACCGGATATATCCGGGTACACGTACCGGAACTTCCGGATCAAATAACCGGGTACGTCCCCCAAGAAAAAAGATATCCCCATAATTAGGGTAAAAATACATACCTCTGGAAAAAAACTTAAAAAAAATCTGATCGTTTTTACTAAACTAGAGTTAAGCCATTAAAACACATTATGTCAAAACCAACATTATTTGATTTATTGTATAAAAATACTACAATTATAAATTTGGTTGCCTTCATAAAGAAAATTACAAATAAAATTTTGAAATTTTAGAAACAAATCTCAAATTAATCCCAAACCTTTTTAACCTATACGTGAGAGTATTAACTTGCCGAGTATTGGATAACTGTTTCTTTAAGACGGCAACCAAATTTATAATTGTAGTATTTTCATACAATAAATCAAATAATGTTGGATTTGACATAATGTGTTTTAATTAAAATTTATTAAAGAAATGATATAATTTCAATAAAATGCGATGTGCCGTCTATAGGAACGTGACATGCCGACGATTGGTAACTGGGGCCGACTTTTGGTTATCTAATTAAACTGTTAAATTGCTCAACTTTAATACAAAATAATTCAAAACTTTTTTGTTATATCGAGTAGTGAACAAAATTTCGAAATAGATGATCCATAATGCATTGTGATGAAAAAATGCGCGCAGAAGTGCCGGCGACTGGTACACTTACCCCATAATGTTTTTGTAAATACCCAAAGTAAAGTACTAATATAAAGCAGATCAAATTTTAAAAATTAGACTTAGCGACATATTTAGGATATTTTTACATAAACTGATACAGCTTATTTTATTACTTTGCAATAATAATAACGAATGAATATTTTCAGGTATCGATCCTCCTCGTGGTGTTCTTATGTATGGACCTCCTGGATGTGGCAAGACAATGTTAGCAAAGGCAGTTGCCCACCATACTACTGCATCATTTATTCGAGTTGTCGGATCAGAATTTGTGCAGAAATACCTTGGCGAAGGACCTCGTATGGTCCGCGATGTTTTCCGTCTCGCTAAAGAAAACGCTCCAGCTATAATATTTATTGACGAAATCGATGCCATAGCCACAAAACGTTTTGACGCTCAGACTGGTGCTGATCGTGAAGTACAACGTATTTTGCTCGAGTTGCTAAATCAAATGGACGGTTTTGATCAAACTACAAATGTTAAGGTTATTATGGCCACAAATCGTGCAGATACTCTAGATCCAGCTCTACTCCGTCCCGGACGTTTGGATAGAAAGATTGAATTCCCATTGCCGGATAGACGTCAAAAACGTTTGGTATTCTCTACGATCACGTCTAAGATGAACCTCAGCGAAGATGTAGATCTGGAAGAATTTGTAGCTCGACCTGATAAAATTTCGGGTGCTGATATTAATGCCATCTGCCAAGAAGCTGGTATGCATGCCGTTAGAGAAAATCGTTATATCGTTTTATCGAAAGATTTCGAGAAGGGCTATAAGAATAATATTAAAAAGGATGAACAAGAACACGAATTCTACAAATAGTTATTTAAATATATGTTTCGCAGTATACTTATAATCGATTTATATATATAAAATCTTTAATTTCATTAAAATAAATGGCGGCGTTCCGCTTTAATAATTCTACGAGTTTATATTTATTTTAAATCTGATATTGAAGATAATCACAGATTAATTTTAATGGGTATATTTCATTCATTTATTTTTTTCATCAAATTTTACCCGAATTATCATTGCATTCTCTTTTTTCATATTAAATTATATTCCTTCGGAACATCAATAAGGAACAAGAATCAATGCTAGGCATTTTACAGATTAACCTGCATCAAAGTACAAAGGAACCAAATTTTAACTATTTTGAGATTTCAAATTTTACAAATCCCGTATCACTAAAAGAAAATATGTACTCTCAGAGTACAAACTAATTAAAATTGTTCGCATAATCAAAAAATTTACTAGTTTTAAAATTTTTTCGACTTCATAAAGGAAAATTTGTTATCGTAGTAAAAGGTTGTAAAATATTTAGGGGGTTCTAATGATCAAATTCATATTGCCTTTTTTTCAATAATAAATCAAGTGTTTTTTTCATAATTTCAAGACCCATATCTCGGGAAGTATGCATTTCCCCCACATACAATTTATATCACCAGCTTAACGAGCACTACATCTGACTGCTGCCCCTAAACTTAACATATGGGTCAATTACGGATGGTAACCATACTTTAGAGGCGTTGCCAGTTGCCAAATTTGAATTATGGATGGCAACTGTTGTCAACTTCAGTTGCTTCAAATAGAATTTTTCGACAGCCATTTATTTCTGGTTGCTGTTTATAACTGAACTTTGTAGGCTTCCCATAATGGTTAATATTACTACTAAAGAACAATTTGAGGTCCTTATTGCCCGGATGGAAGCTCACCCAAATGTAGCACGCGGCGTGCGGACTTTGGTCAAACCAATGCCACTATCGATGATGAGTGGAAGGCCATTTTAGAAGACCTTAACTGCTATGGCCCACCAACACGCATTCCAAATGAATTACAGAAAGTGGCGAACATCTTCTTTTGGGTCCTTGATATGTACGTGTGTATCATCAATATATCCGACACCCTAGAACTTAGTTTTCGAAAAAAAATTTTTTTCTTCCCTTTTTCCTCCTCCGTTAATTTGGATACAATAAAAATTTTACACAGTTTTTCCTCTATTAGCCGGATAACTTCGGTGAAAACCACCAACATTGACGGTTGAGCATTGCCAAGGGTGAAGTCATTGCCATGGGACTTTTGAAAACTTCCCTCCACAAAAACCTCAGAGCTGCACACATTTTTAAGAGAGGAGGAATTGCTGTTGACCGCCAGGCTTTTCGGAAATCAGGTTAAAGGCTTCATCTATGTACACAACGGCATCTTTTGGTAGTCGAAAATACGCCTTCAAGCTAATATGAGCAGTTTACATAGTGAAGGAATTATAACTCAATTTCGAACCTAACATTTTCGTTTTGTATCTTAATACATTCCTTCACCCTAAATAGTAATGGGTCGATTACGGATGGCAACCATAGTTTAGTTGCGTTCCCAAATTTGCATTATGGATGGCAACTGTTGACACACTTCAGTTGCTTCAAAACATAATTTTCAACCATTTATTTCTGGTTGCTGTTTATAATAACTGAAATTTTTAGGCTTCCCATAATGCCTAATATTACTAAAATTTTCTTTCTTTCTGAAATATTCTATTCAGTTTTTTATTTGTTTACAATATTTCTATTTGAAGAAGTGTCAAAAAAGTCTTATCGACGGCAACTGAGAAAAGTTGATATTCATAATGTTATCCATTTCGTGGTTTCAAAAAATATTTAGTTATGTTTTACAGTAGTTTTGATTTAGCTGCTTTGTTCATAGCTACACATTAGAATTAGCTTGCGTTGCCAGTTGAAATCGTAACTGGAGTTTGGTTGCTTTCCATAATCGACCCATTAAGCTGTGGTTGTTGGTGCTTTTGAATAAGCATTTCTCAGGAGTTTTTGCGGTCGAATAAACTATGTAAAGGATTTGCATCTCTACAGACATCATTTCAGTCTTATTACCAAATCTACATTATGGATGTATGTTTTATTTATTTTTTTGTATTATGTGGTATTGGGGTGTCGTTGCAGGTTACATCCAGTTGACGTGCTCTTCTATTAAAGTGGATTATATTAGTTTTGGCAAGGTTAAAATTCATTTTCAGGTTTCTGCAGCGGGCTGTAAATTGTCTCTGTGCTGAATTAGGATGAAAAAATCGTCAGCGAATTGAAAAACGTGACAATTTTCATCTGCTATATCGAGGAGTTCCATTGTATATAAATTAAATAGAAGTGGGATTATGCAACTACCCTGTGCAAGACCGCTGTTGACAGTGATTCTCCCCTTGTCCAAACAAAGGTTTCTTTTGCTTATGAAATCGATGACCCATTTCGTTACGTGTTGGTTTATTTCAGCCTCTTTCATAGGCTTTCTCCACGTCCAAGTATATACCCATAACGTGACAACCTTTCGCTTAATAAGCATACACCCTGTTGATAATATCGTTGATACACATATATGTCGAGTGTCCACGTCTAAATGCGTATGATCGTGGGGGTAATAGTCTTTTAGTTTCTATATGCTGTTGTAATACGTTTTTAATCATTGCTTCTAAGCATTTAAGTGATACGCTCAGGAGTGAAATAGGCCTATAATTTAGAATAACTGTTGGATCTTTGTTGCGCTTAGGAATAGGGCAGATTCGGATGTCCCTCCAGGGCTTTCGCAAAATATATTGAAAAAGGCTTTTTGCGCTTCAATAGATAGCGTTTGAGGGAATGTGAAATTCGATCTAGCCCATATTTTCTTACATTTTTTACGATGTCCCATAGTTGGTTCCCAGAAGATCATTAAAATTTTTACGTTTTTTCCGCTTAGTATATCTTCAGCTTCTTGATATGCTATCAAATCATCCAACTTTTTCGTTTTGCGATATTTTTTCTGGCGCCATTTCTGCATCTAAAAAGTCTTGATGTCTCTTCGGTCCACCACGCCTTTGGTATATATTTGTTATTAGGAGGAATAATCACCGTATGGTTTTTTATTATTGTTAGAATTTTTGAATTAAATTCTTCCATGGAATTTCCTGTATTCATTTTAGAGATGTCTTTGATGACGGCTTTTTGGCTAATCTTGAAATTGCGGTTAGTTTTATTATCATATTTAAAATCCATGATTATAGGGCGATGATTACTGTTTGTGAGCTTGTATCCGGACACTTTCCACTCAGGTACACAATCCAAATTCTTTCGAATGCGAGGTCTAAGACTGAGCAGTAATTCTCTCCTATTTGAAATGTAGGGCTGCCGACGTTCATACACCAGAAACCATGCTTTGTAGAGGTCTCCCAAAGAAAACGAACTTGGTGATCCGTGTTTGTATCTCCCCACAATGATGAATGTATGTGCATTGAAATCGCCTGCTATGATTGTTGGAATTAGGCAGTTTTCAAATGTGCTAAAAATGCCGTCTACCAAAGTATTGAACTGTTGTCTGTTTGTATTGGGAGGAATGTAAATCATAATGAAGTTAATGTGCAAATTCCGATTACTTCCATGTCGAGATTAAATGTTAAAAGTTTGAATGTGACACCTGGTTTAACGTAGATACCTACGCCACCGTACCCATCTGGTCTATTTTTAGAAATTAAATTATAGTTGGAGATATTGGATATAGTGTTGTCTTTCAACCACGTTTCGCAAAAAAGTGCTATATCAATAGAGTGACTTTCTATATATAATTCTAGTAATGATTTATTATTGTTTTTACACACACTTTGGATATTGAATTGCAGTAATTTCATATTAAATATTTAATTTTGTAATGGTGCTGATTTATTTAAGGATTTCTTTATCACTTCTGCGTCATTATTAATTCTTATATGTACAATCAATTTCTTGATGGATTTTATTTTTAGCTACCATTTGATCTTTCGAGTTGTGAGTGTGATAATAATATTCCATTTAACATAATCATCATTTTGTTTGGGACTGATTCGAAACTGGTTGGTCGTGATTTTTCAGCCATCGAAAGTGCTGTTTCATTGGGTGTCACGTAGACCTCTCCCTCGGTCAAAACTTTTTTGTGCATTTCTTGTGTTTTCCTTTCGTTTTCTTCGCGAAGTCTATTGTGATTGATTTGGCCACTTTAGAGAAAGGGTTTGAAGCGTGAATAAATTTGGTTGATTCTTGAATGTTTTCAGCAAAATGTTTTGCGCCAGTGTTAAAAGATTTTTTTTTTTTTGAGTTGGTAGAATTGGGAAATTTTCACCATGATCGCTATCAAGAATTGAAAAATTGTTACTGAAAAGGTATGGATATTTCGTTTTTGTTTTGCTAATTGTGAGATTTTCTAAAACCATAGTGCACTTTATGTTGTATGGCTTTGCTCTTGCGGGACATCTCTTATCCATTGGGTCGTGGTTCCCTTTGCAGTTGGGGCAGATGTAAGGTGGATCGGCACAATCTTGGTTATTATCGTGTACTACATAGCAGACTGAGCATGTCGGGATTTTTTGCTTACAATGTTTTGCAAGATGGTTGAATCGGTAGCAGCTATAACATAGCGACATAGGAACAAAGGGTTGTACTTTTAGGCGTGACACTCCATAAATCGATATATCTTGGGGCAAAATGAGCCTTTCGAATTATATGTTGACTCTTCGGGTAGGATATGACTCTTCACCCTCTCTTCGCATTACTCTGAAAATCTTTAGGTTGGCACATCACTTATGAAGTTTTCTTTTATCTCCTCTTCACTAATAAAGGTATCCACTGGGAATATCATGTCCCATTTCGATACGAAATAGGCGAGAATTTTTGTTCGATATTTATTAGCAAGTAGGCTAGTGTCATTGGCAAAAGCATTTGCTGCCTCTGCTGTTTTGAAAACAACTTTGCCTCTTCCATATCCTATTTTTGTTATTTCTATTACTTTTTCTTCAATTCCCATATTTTGTGTTGTACTTACTGGATTCATATTACCATCATATCACCAGGCATCTTGAAAGTATCAGCTTTAATTTAAATTCCTTTTCACGATTGAACAAAATCATGTTCTAGAATTTGAAAGAATTTCGGCGGATAACGGTAAAAATGCTTGTTGTGTTTGTTTGAAAAAATTCGCACTCACCATGTTTCCACTTCGGACTAAGAGTCTAAACGCAAACATAGAGTCTAGAGTCAGCGACAGTCGTTTGCCGTGTGTTTCTTATAGGCAACGGGAAATGGCAGTGGTGTTAAAAAACAAATATTTTCAACGATTTTGGACGTTTGGAATTAATAATAAAATGAAAAAAAATGGTCGAGGAAACAAAAAATACGGTATTTTGTATAACTTGGAATTTCCTGAAGAAATTGAATTTGGTTGGACAACGAATAACATTCTGTCAAAAAATTAAAGCAGCGTTTAGAGTCTAAACGCAACCAGAGAGTCACGAGTCAGCGTCATACTTTTTCGCCGGCGTGAAAACCAAACTAAAGAGTTGGCAGCTAGCGTCACAAAATGTCAATTATTTGTTTTCATTTTTTGACAGAAAATTTTACGTTGTGCAAACCAAAATCAATTTATTATTTAATAAACAATAATGTCAAGGAACTTGGATAAAATTATTTTTCTTCCATTTTATTAATTCGTTAAAAAAAAGTCCACAATCGTTGAAATATTTGTTTTTTTAACAGCACTGCCATATGTTTTGATATAAATTCTCATTGAAATTTGGTAGCACTGTTGATTTTTACCTAATGCCATGTTCTGACGGGCATTCGAACAACGTAGAATTACGTACATGAATTAACCCGTTCATACAACACTATTCTTAATTCATGTCTTCAGAGTTTTTTTATTTCAAACTTTTTGTTTCTTGTTTTACACCAAAATTCTAACGTATTTGCTTGAATCACATATGGATCTAAATAAAAAAATTAATTCTCTTTCTCTGACTATGTATGAACCCATATCTATTTACTTTTAATTCATGTTTTCCATTTTTTCTGAAAATATTGTTGTTTTCATACATTTTTATATTTTCTAAATTCACATATGTATGTCAATGTCACATATAAAAAATTGGCAATTTTTGGTTTGGGTTTTCCCACATTTGTTTTTGTTTGGGTTTTCCCACATTTGTTTCTCGTTTTGTATGCTAATTAGAACCAAAGGGAAGGAAATGCATATTGCATTATGTAGATTACAAAATTTACTTTCTTCTGCATATAATATAAACTAGAAACTTTTTTACTTTTCATTCATCATTTTAAATTTTACTAAAAAGTTTGAAAATTTTATAAATATTTTCAAGCTGTCAAAATTAATTTATTTTCGATAAATACTCTCAATTGTTAGGGATGGGACAAATTTCTTGGTTATTCAGAAAGTGATTCGAATTGAACAACGTACAAAAGTCGGTGTTCGCTCAGACAATTTTGTATGGGGAACTAAGTAATTACTTCATAATTAAGGGTCGAACAACGAATGAGAGAGCGAACAACACTCGTCTGTACATGTACATGGCATAAAATATGGCAACTCAATTGAGAGCAAGAGAGAAATTTTGAGTATGACAAAAATGAGCAAAAATTAATAAAATTAAAATTAAATATATTTTAACTTTTTGCGTGCGTTAACGCGATAACAAAAAACGCCCAACGCGAACATTCTACACACGGCAAACGACTGTCGCTGACTCTAGACTCTATGGTTGCGTTTAGACTCTTAGACTCTAAATAGCCGCCGCTAAATTTTCTTCTCCCATCGGAGGAGTCTTTAATATACCGCCGTTGAAATTCTAAATTACAGATAGACCTCGATTATTTAGTTTTTATTTAAGAGCAATTTGTCAGTTTTTGGTCTGTTCCCGTACTGCAAGAATCTACTATTTTTTACTACGATAACACTTTTTTCCTTTATGATATCGGAGAAAATAGTAAAAACTCGTAGATCCTTGCAGTACGGGAACAGACCATTTAACTTTTCGTAAGAGCAATTTGTCAGTTTTTGGTCTGTTCCCGTACTGCAAGAATCTACTATTTTTTACTACGATAACACTTTTTTCCTTTATGATATCGGAGAAAATAGTAAAAACTCGTAGATCCTTGCAGTACGGGAACAGACCATTTAACTTTTCGTGTAGATTAAATTCCCAGGAGACTTCATCCATATTTATTTAGTGCGTAAATACCCAATAGGTTCCGGTAAATTGGTTTGAATATCAATTTATTTGGGCATTTACCATATTGAATCGCCAGTAATTTATGCAATAATAGGAAAAACTGTTTAACTGCCGAACAAAATTTGGCTCACATGATGTTTATAGAATCATCTACTGATATAGAAAATTCAATCTCTGGGTCCATGTCCATTATATTGGCGATTCAATGTACTAAATACCAAAATAAACCTCTCCAAATGTGTATTTACCCAATTAAAAAGGCATTGGCCCATTAAATATTCACTCACTAGCCAACTCTAAATATGTGGATGAAATCTTCAGGAAATTTAAATTAAAATAAAAACAAAATAGTCGAGGTCTATCTGTAATTTAGTCAATATTCAACGGCGTTACATAAAAGCCCCTCCGAAGGGAGAAGAAAATTCTGCCGCCGCAGTTTTGTCTCATCAGTGGCTTCATACTCTAGTGTGGCTTCCTTCCAAGGAAAAAGTAGACTTTTCGGTTTTTGTTTTGCCTCTGACTAAAAAGAAGTTGATTTTTTTGATTTTTCGATCTTTCAATTTTATCAAACCTGATCAAAATCGATTTTCGACTTTAACCGATCGCGTTGTCAACCTGCATACAACGCCGTCACACAGTAACAGTATGGCTCGGTTCTCCGGCTGCAGCTGCTGTGAGTGTATGTGTTGTAAACAACACGGTTTCGTTTAGTCTCCCTCCCACCTCATTCGTAAACTTTCGGTTATACCACTTTGAGTCATCTTTATCGGCCATTTTGTCTTCTCTTCCCATTCGTTAGCAGCTGGACCGTTTTTCAATTCAGTCGGTGAAAAGTACAGAATCAGTCCAGGATTGAAATCAAATCAAATTGATTGTATAGAAAAAAGTTAAAATAATTTAGATTTGGTAATGAGACTGGTACAGAGATATTAAAACGATGTTAAAATTATCGACACCAATGGTGTTGCGTTGGGCTATCGTTCTGCAAATCCTTTTCATACTTTATTCGGACGCAAAATGCCCTGAGAAATGCATATGCAAAAGCACCAACACAACGACATCCACCAGGAACTTAAAGGTGCGGTGCGATGTGAACAATGATGATAATGTATGGAGTTGGACATGGCAAAATTTAACTTTTGAGGACGACGCTGCTAATGTGGTGATATTGTGCGTATCTCTTGGAGTATTTGAATTGTATTTCCAGATGATTTTCTAATCAATTTATTTTCTTTTTAGAGACTTAAGTAAAAATGGTATCAGTACCATTGACAGGGAGGTATTCCGCAATCTGACCGACTTAAAGCGTTTAGATTTATCGGGGAATATGCTGAAAACAATCGATAAAACGACATTTGGTGATGCCTTTGAGAGCCTGGAACGCCTCCGTTTGGCTAACAATTCAATAGCACACATATATCCTGGATCGTTTGATCATTTGAAAAACCTAAAGATATTGTATGATGGGAATATGTCTCTGCAAGGCCAATACTAATTAAAATCTTATCAATTCACTTCTTAGAGATATATCATTTAACCCGCTGGCCTGTGATTGTGATCTGATGTGGCTTGTGAACTGGTCAAATACGAGGCTTGTGAAATTACAACCATCCCCCAAATGTGATTCAGAGGATTTTAAGGGCATTTATCTGAAGAAGTTGAAAGTGGGCGTGGATTTGTATTGTGAATCACCTCTGCAACCTTTGCTGGAGTTTATACCAAAGCATAACCAAGTGATTATTAACAAACGTATTTTTTAATGGACAAGTTTACTAATCAATTCGATGATTTTTTATTTATAGGTAGTCTTCGAAGGAGATGAATTAGTACTAAAGTGTAGAGCACCTCGCGTAGCTATTGGCGGACATCGCGAATCCGAGGATCTACCTACAAGAGCTCATGTGTTTTGGGGTTGGTCTGAGAAAATACGCCATCAAAATTCTACTGATGATATTGTGTACCGAGATCCTACCAAGATTTTCAATGACGTATTCTTGGAGAGCAAACATACAACGGACTCGGGTATATTGAATTCGGTTTTGCGAGTAGTCAGTGTTAAAAAGAATCACACCGGAACATTCGATTGTACACTGAGGTCACAACAGGCCAATCTGTCCCATGCCATTTCTGTTATAGTCATTGCCAAAAATACTTTGTATTGTCCGGCAGTAGATGTTAAAACAAACAAAGGCAATTATCACTGGCCTCAGACAGTGCGAGGTCAAACTGTTGAACAGGATTGCGTCGAAGAATCAAATGGTGGACAAGTGGCCACGTATCACTGTGATGAGTCGGGTAATTGGATCGATCTGAATACACAAGCCTGTTCATATGTTAGTCGTACAACAAGGCTTTTAGAACAATTTGCCAAAATGGATCTCAATTTGAATAAGGCAAACGTACTCGAAATCGCCAGAAGCGTACATAATTTTACGCACACCTCTTCAAATCTTCGGCGAATTCAGGACCCAATAGACTTGGAGTTTGTCGCCCGAACTTTGGTCAAATACCTCGATTTCATAAAATACCAAAGTGAATTAGCTCATTTGCTGCTTGACATTGTTTCACAACTTCTGTCTCTGCCCTCGAAGACATTTTACGAAGCACAACGTGAACATGAAAGTGGACTAAAGCTCTTGGGATGCGTTGAGGTGGCATCAAGAATGGCCTCTTTAGAATCCCCTATCCAGGGAGATTCGCATGTCCTAAAAGATGACTTAATATCCATGCCTCGAAGTTTTTACGTGGATTACTTTATCGTCCGGCCTGAATCATTCACTGGTATATCATGTGTATGGATGCAAACACTCAGTTCATCTTCTTCGTTCGAATGTAGCACATCGAACGACTCATTTCCTTCGTTTGAGAGATATATTGATGCTGCCATTGAAATACCTGTCAATTCGTTGTTTGACAATACAACTAGTGCCAATCAAAACATAAAATTAATGGTGGCCGTGTTTCGAAATGCGAACTTACTGCCATATTTGTCCGATCACGACGGCGATGATACTATTTTATCGTCTCCTATAATTGGAGCCAAAATCGTGGGCGAGGAGGATGAAGTCGGCGACTTCAGTGTAGAAGCCCTTACAGATATGGAGGAAAAACATCAGATAGCAGTTATACTAAGAGTACATCCGTATCATAATGAGCGAAGCAAACCAATACCAGCATGGTGGGATCCACAGAAGAAAAAGTGGGTTCCATCAGCTTGCCAACAGTTGTATCTACATCGTGGTCTGCTTATGTTCACATGTAAGCGTTTTGGTTACTTTGGAATACTTCAAGATAGACAATATTTAAATGACTTCCGGAGCGAAGATGCTGGGGCGAGATTTCGTTACCTTCCTTATCCCATTTATATTGGAACATCGGTACTTTTCATATGTTTGAGCATCAATATTGTAACGTTTGTTGTATTCGGAAGGGCAATACGAATTAACCGCCAACAGCGTCACACATTCGTAAACACATGGCTGGCGTTGGCATTGTTATGTCTTGTTTTTTCATTGGGCATATATCAGACAGAACACCAGGACAATTGTCGTGTTATTGGCATACTTATACATTACTTGTCCTTGTGTATACTTCTGTGGCTGTGTGTAAGCCTGAGCACAATGTACAAACGATTGTCTAAACACCATCGCGTTATAGACTCCGATTTGCCGAAAGAGGCGCGATTGAAAAAGCCTATTATGGGCATTTACCTAGTTGGATGGGGTATTGCTCTAATGATATGCGGAATAAGTGGAGCTGTAAACATTAACGAATACTCTGCCTACTCGCATTGTTTTCTTCATAACGCATCTGCTATGAATGCTGTGCTTGTTCCTGGAGGAATCTTGTTAATATTTCTTTCAATACTATTCTTGACAATATACTATCAACTTAATCATCGGAGCTCCGTTGCTAATATGATGCAAAATCATCAGTTTTCGGACAATACACAGGCTACGGAAAATATCGATATGGATTGGCTCGATTCAACGACTCCGGGCAATCAAACTCGTCGCACCAATGCCACCACCAAATCTCTCAACATTGACCAATACACCAGCCTAACAAGCAATACCGCAGCCAGTAGCATTGTTGATGATTTTGAACGATCCAATTTATCGCATTTGAGGGCGCACTTGATCTTTTTGGTGCTCTATATAACAGCATGGCTTTCGGCTCTGGCATTCGTTATGCATTCTTCTGCAGCCGAACATGAATCGAGCCACATGTATTGTGTAATATTTACAATTTCATGCTGTGTACTGGGGGTTTTCATGCTGCTTTTCTTTACCCTAACCAGAAATGATACTCGCCAGCAATGGGCGCAAAATCCATGCTGTGGTAAAATGCCTAATGATGGCTACGATGCAAGTAACTACAACGACGGCATCGCCCCCGTCGCTAACAGTGTGTTGGCATACAAACCTGCATACGAAGGAGCTAATAACTCGGGGGCATCGCGTTCCAACTCTCAGTGCTCAAAACACCGGACAGGCAGCATCCGAAATGGAAACGTTGATTGTACCACGCAACACCTTTTGAGTGTTTCGACGTCGTCTGCAGCACCGCCACCTGCAGCAATAATTAATAACCAACATATTGCAGGCATGGGCGTAATGTCACACGACATTCCTAGCGCCGAAATCTTCTACAATCCCAACCAAATTAATGTGGCTAGAAAGTTCTTTAAAAAACAAAAAAGGTTGGCTAAACGTAATAATTTCGAACTGCAACGGCAGAAGGATCGCAACGAATATGGTGCAGGTGGACATGGTGCCGATACTATGAGCGATGGATCATCCACAACGGGTAGTGCCAATATATATTCAAGAAGACACAATGCAATGACATTGAAGCTGTTGAGTAGCGGCGTGGGCAAAGTTAACAATACCAATATTAACTACAAACCTGACTATAATATGGGTTACAAGAATTGCAACAGCAGCTCCGTGCATAATCCCCTGACCAATTTCGAAGACGATGCCTTCTTCGCGCCTCCAGGTCCTATCAACAACCACAATGACAATTCGTTAAGGAAACGAGCCACAATTCTTTCGATGAACATCTATACAAATGTCAATGAGACAATGGTGCCACAGCATGAGGTGCACAAGGTTAAGCCACGATCGCTCAAGCCTTTGGAGGAGCACCATGAAGAGTTGGAGGAAATCGATAGCAGTTCGCATGATGGCGAAAATGTCCCTCTTTATGAAAATACCAAACCCGCGAATCAAGTTAAGTCTTTATCGAGCAATATATTTAATACTTCGTTTTCGAATGTGCCAGCAACTTCCACCCCAAATAAAATATTATTACCTACCAAAGTCGATGACAATGTACAACAACAGTCGTCTTCGTTACTTTTGGATAATGAAGACAAGGAGGCCATGAACAGTTTGGGCCTCCCTTCGCCCTCTCCTAACAATGTTCTTCCCAAGTTGAGTGAAGTAGTAAGCAGTGATGAGGATGACGACACTACCTGCAAAGAACCGGCGTTAAAACGTGACGAAATCTACGTTTCAAATTCGTTGCAAATAACCAACAGAATCGATGTGGAGGACGATTTCGGTTCTGTGCTCATACGTTGCACGAATCAAACGAAACACTCAAAATCGCTCAACAATTTAGACGTTATTTTTGAAGGCGGAGTAGTAAAAACGAAATCGAGCCTTAGTAACGACATTGACAAAAATAGTGTCAACTATGGTTCCGAAAATATTTTGGCCCACACTTCACCAAGCGCCGTTGCCCCCTCCCGCTGTCCATCATTTTATGAATCGCAGAATGCCGGGAAAAAGAGCATATCGTCGAATTCTCTTTCCGCATGTGAACTCAAGTCACAGCCTTCACAGAAGTATTTAATTGATAATGGTACATCAGACGAACGGGAGGTTAATGTTGCCGGGCCCTTTCATATGGTCGCTGGTTCTTGCACTAGATCTGGTAGCCCAACAAATGAAAGTGATCTGAATTATCAGAATTCGGAAATAAGCATACGTAGCCATGGACTGTATGCTCCGCAAGTCGACAACGACTTGACCTTAACAGATGATTTCCGTTATCAATCGTCCAATGCAAGTGAGGCCGATATGGGCTGCTTGAATGACTTTGAGGATGAATACTCCGTTTTCGGTGCCAATAATTTCAATCATGATCATCATTTAGATGGTGACCACGAAGTTGAACATACGGATCAGGTAGATGCTATCAACACATCAATTGATGAACTATACGAAGCAATCAAGCGTCGACGCAGCCCTCAACAGGAAGAACCAAACACTGGAATTGTCGATGAAACTTTATATGCCGCCCTGACTGATCCAACAAATAATAGCATCATTGATGATCCTGCTTCAGCTTCCGAACCGAATGCCAAAATATCCATGAACGCCGATTCGCAACATGCAATGCCGTTTTTGACACCAGTCGTTGTGGCCGAAAATGCGACAGACAGCAGTCAGAGTAGTGTAATTTCGTATATAGATCCGAAGACTGCAAGGAATCCCACAAGCTGAAGTCGCCACAGCTCTTGAATATGAAAGTGTCTATATATACTCGTTCATTGTATCTCAATTTTGAATTTTTAGATCATCAACTCACTCATACGTACATTCATACGAATGTATGTCCTAAGTACTGAAGCCTAACTGCAAGATTATTGCAAGTATCGTAATTATTTTTAGCGATTTTGCATTAGTTTAATAAGATTATTTATATTAGTATTATTATGTGCATATAATTATATTCATACACACATACACACGATCTTTGTATAGTTGCATCACACTCACACGCCAATATCATTTCTTTTTTTCATCTACATTTCTCTACTCTATTTTATATCAAAAATTTGCCATTTTTCATCATGTGTATAATTATTAAGATTGAATAGCGAAAACAACGAATCGTTTTTAAGATTGTTTTATATTTTTAAGAAAATATGTATTTATAGTTATAAGACTTTTTTAATAAATGTACAAATAGTTCCACAATTTCAACGTAATGCTAATTAATCGAAAAATAAGGAGGCACAAAACAAAACACAAACTCAAAGACTAAGAATAATCGAATCTAAACAAAATGTCCTATTTCATAAGGGAGTGTACAACGGCATTTACGTTGATCGCCTTCAAATCCGAATAGGTTTGACCAGTTCCAACAAAAACTATAGGTTGCCCCGTAATGTAGGTCATGGAGATGGCCGCACCCACTTTGTCGTCAATGGTGTCGAACTTCGTCAGTACAATGCCGTCGATAATGTGTGGATTTTCGTCGGAGGAATAGTCAGCCAATGATTGATTGAATTTTACCAGCTGGTCAACAGCTTCATTGCCCACCAATGCTTCGCCGACAAAGAGGACAAGATCGGGATCATTTACTTTAATGAGCTTTGCCAGTGAACGCATCAACGGTTCATTGTCCTGCATGCGCCCAGCTGTGTCCACCAGCACCACATCGACACGTGTGTCGTGGGCGAATTTAATAGCTTCCATAGCAATTCCAGCCGCATCCTTACCATATCCCTTTTCATATAGTTGCACCATGGTGCGACCGCCATGCTTCTCCGCAGGATGCAAGGCGTTCAAATGCCGCGTATGAGTTCTCAGTTGTTCTACAGCGCCAGCACGGAACGTATCACACGCAGCAATCAACACATTGAAATCGTTTTCTATTAACCAAAAGCAAATTTTGGCTAAATTTGTCGATTTGCCAACACCATTGACACCGCAGAAAATAATGGTATACGGTCTGTTATTTCTCTTGGCTTCCAGTGCATCACGTATGATATCGACACGACGCTTGGGAGACAAGATTCGTACCAGGGAGGTACTTAAGGCCTCTTTAACCATTGTAGCAACCGAATCAAATGTACCAACCGATTTACCTTCCAAACTTGTACATACGGAGTCGCAAAGCTTATGTGCAATATCTGATGCAACGTTTTTCGATATAAGATGATCACGCATTTTTTCCAAAGCCGGTTGAAGTTCTACCCGTGATAACGTCTTGCCACCGACAAAGCCTTTGAAGTAGGACAAAATACCTGACTTTTTCTTGTTATCCGTGTTTGAGTATTGGTGAACATCGCTGTCACCTATTTCTTCTTCATCGTCGCTCTCCACCTCCAAGTCACGAATACTGCCATGCATGGTGCCAACAATCTGCAATAAAAATAAATAAGCATGTATACACATATCCTCTCTGAAACGTTCTCCACAATACTATAAAGCAGGTGATACTTACATCGTTTTGTATATTCCTGTATTGAACGTCTTCTGGTTGATCTTTCGAACGATCAAGAACGACTGCATCTTTTGAACTTCCTCCCAAGTCCCACACTCTCGGTTTCTTACCAGCCTTTTCCTTTTCACCCTTGTTCTTGTTCTCTGGTGGACTCTTCTTGCCAGCCATCTTTCCCATTAGCTTCTTACGATTCTCCATAATTATATCAACATTTGAAATTCCCTTTTCTTCAACATAGGGTTTAGGGCTTTCTATAATATTTACTTGCTTCTTAGTGTGTTCCTTGGCTTTGTTGTCATTGGGACTTTCAATGAGTGATGCTACAGTTTTCTTTGACTTTAGGGATTCGTTGAAAGAACGCATTGTCTTCGGGGCCTTGCTGCTCTGTTTGGCGGAGTTCTCTGCTGCTGCCAAGGTGGTACGGAATTCTCGTTCGAATTCATATTTCAAAGCAAACTTTTGAGACGTCGCCAATTGATCTCCAAACTTGTCTTTGAAAGCAGCTTGTAGTTGGGTTAGAAAGTTGTCCACGTAGGGCAACTTGATGATCTTTTGATACACGACAGCAAACACTAATTCGAGCTCATTGTCCAACTTGAATTGCAGCGCCAAGTTGTCTTCTTCGAAATATTTGGATTCGGTGCTGCGTTCCTAGAAAGAGAAATTATGCAAATATGAACACATATTTTAAATGCAAAAATTTCATATTTCTTGGGTCAATATGAATACTTACCTCCAATATAACGCTACGTATAAGGTTGTTGATGTAGGGCGTCACATTTTCACCAGTTGCATTGCAATTCCACAAAACTATGCCCCCTTTACTAAAAATTACCACAAAATCTAACATGATACCCAAATATTCCCGATGCAAAACAAAAATAAATCTGTACACGTCACGTCACGTCAGGCGAACGTCGACTACATTGACATTACAGCGATAACTTGTTGTTGACATCGATTCGATGACAGTAGTCGGAGTCAAGCAGACACTCAACCACGGCGGCAATTGTTGTGTTCTAAAAACGATATGGCGACACGTCGAACAGCTTGATAGCACATTTACGTTCGCACTTTATATGATGTGGATTTATGAAATGCTGAAAATAAATTATATATTAGGTGTGTCTGGTTACCCTAAAGTTTGTAACAATTGTTACAAATTGTTACTGGAAGTCGTCTGTTAACCCAAAAGTTCTGCAAAAGAGAGCGGTTGGAGAGAGAAATTTTGACAGTTCTTTCAGTGAGAGTTTGCAAATTATGCTGGAAAAATTTTTCTTGCAATCTCTTGCAACTCTTCTTCTTTCATACATCGACATTCAATCAGATGTTTTCTATTGTTTGTTTATTTATTTTTGTGCTTTCAATTTGAAAATAATTTTTTTTGGAATTAGCAAGACTAATTGTTTTTGGAGAAAAACTTTACAAAACGAGAAAAACGTAAGTATTAATATGTAATAGGAAAATAAAAGACTATTTCCAGCATTTTTAGAAAAATGACGGAAGAAGATCAGTGTGTCTCTGTAGCCAGTGCTCATTTTTTATTTTATTTCCTTTTTATTTCAAAAACTTGTTAAACTGGTTGTGTTTTCTTTCTTTTAATTCTTTATAATGGCGGACAAATTGGTTTGTTTTGACAAATCAGCTGATTAGTTGCAAGCTTCTGCAGGGATGTCTGTTTACTTTTCGCATTTTTCTTGCAAAAGAGAATAAAACTACCTTACTCTCTCAGAAAGAAGTTACTGGACAATTCCTGCAGGGAAAGTAACCAGACACACCTATTATAAATTATTGGTCTGTTCCCGTACTGCAAGAATCTACTATTTTTTACTACGATAACCATTTTTTCCTCTATGATATCGAAATAAATTGTAAAAAATAGTAGATTCTTGCAGTACGGGAACAAACCATATATTACCAAAATTTTTAAAAATGGAACAAAAATGATATTAATTCATTTCTCAGAGGTTCTCAGTGTAGTTCAGTTTAGTTCTCAACGTATAACTGTCAAACTAGCTCTCTCTTCGCTTTCTTTTACTGGTCTTTGGAGTAAACAGAAAGCATCCAGTAACATCATTTTTGCTTCCAACGTCAATACGAATTTGACAAATTATGTTTTTAAAAGTCACCCAACAGGAAAATAGGGAACGTATACAATTTGAAATTGTTGTTTATTAAATTTGCTCCCGTATTTAATTTACTCAATCTCTTGCTGGGAAAGTTACATAATGCAAATCTTTGTTCATGGAATAACTCGCAATTCCCTGCATTTTCATATGTGTTACACATATAAGTGGCAATGGCTCAATTATAGGAAAGATGTGAAAGTGATAGATATATAATTTTGATAGATTTTCATTCATGTTTTTTTAAATTTTATTTTGAGGACTCGAAAATATTTCATTTTCAAAATAAATATAATTTGTTGATAATTTGTATTAGTCTGTTCCCATACTGCAAGAATCTACTACTTTTTACTACTATAACGAATTTTCCTTTATGATATCGAAGAAAATAGTACAATCTAGTAGATTCTTGTAGTACGGGAACAGACCATATGTTAGTTTACATTTTTCTGGCAAATGACGTTGACACTAGTATAACTTAAGGGCTAAGCAGAATGCTCGCGTTGAGCCATCCGTTGCGTTATGTGTTATCGAAAATACAACAACCACAAGGAAACAATAACAAAACGCTCGAAGTTGATGTGCGCTGCGCTTCGGAGTTAAATATTGTTACGTTCTTGGATTTTATTTAATTCCGTGTAGACGTTGTTTTATTTCCCAGTACAGTTCGTACTAAATAAAACGCGGGTTCTTTCTGATTACGATTATTACAATGAGTTTATTGACACACTTTACGTTACTTGACGGTTTCAATTCGCGATCTGATTCACAACTGACTGACTGCCTTTCCATTTCCCCTATTTATATGAGCCTTGCCTGTCGCTACAGAAGTTTCTAGACGATCTGGTAACACCTAGATTACGAACAATCTACCAATGCAACAAACACATTCAAACTTACATTGAGTGAACAATAACAACAACACATATACAGGCGAGGGGGTAACAAAGAAAGAGGAATTAAGCGATCATCAATGATGTCGTTTAACAAGAATTGTACGTCAATAACAAAATAGAAAATGAAAGAGGAAATGGAAGGATGTAGAAAAATCTATACAGTAGTTGTTGTTGTGAAGTTATTGGAATAATCTGCGTAGTAGAAATTTACGTTACAATTCAAATTCTTAAATTAACGGAATTCATCTAAATTAACTTAAATCTAAAGTTATATTCGTAACATTGCCCCCCGCTTAAGCCTGTTCGTCCCGAATAGGCACAGTTCCCGTTCCGTAGGGGGCCAGCCGCTCTAAATGTACAACTTTCATCTTCAACTGTCGCTCCTCTGGATGTGACAATCTTGTAAAGTGCGTTTGCAATTTGGGGCATAGTCTTTTCTTTCGTTGTGGGTTGAACAATAGTACCAGTTGCCCTTCTTGAAACCCATCGGTATTTGCCGCTCGATCGTACCTTGCCTTCATGCGGTTGCTAACCATTTTTATTCGATGGCGAACTGCATCGTGGACTTTACTAAATGAGTTTTGACTGTCTTCATCTTGGTTCACATCGTCGTTTGGGGTAGCACCAAATATCAAATCGCCAGGTAGCTTTAATTCATTTCCGAAGAGAACTTTGGCTGGGGTCCGGGATGTGGAATCATGAATGGCCGATCTATAAGCCAGTAACAACTTTGGAATATGCTCATCCCAGTCTCGTTGGCTACTGTCCACCACTTTCCGTACATGCTCTTCCAGGGTGCGATTGAATCTTTCCACCATGCCATCTGATTGTGGATGTAGGGGCGTCGTTCTGGTTTTCTTGATTCCGTAGGAGTCACACATTTCCTTGAAGATCGCTGATTCAAAATTCCTACCTTGATCGGAATGAACCTCCGATGGAACACCATAGCGACAAATCCAATTTTTGCTGAACACATCCACAATTGTCCTGGCTTCTTGATTTGGGATAGCATAGACCTCTGGCCATTTGCTGAAGTAATCCATGACCACTAAGGCATACCGGTTCCCAGAGTCGCTTGTTGGGAACGGTCCAGCTACATCCATTGCGATTCTTTCAAAAGGGGCTCCTGAATTATACTGCTGCATGTAGCCTCGACTCTTCCGTGTTGAACCTTTAGCTCTTATGCACCTTTCACAATTGGCGATCCAGTCGGCAATGGATTTTTGACAGCCGACCCAGTAGAATCTCTGCTTTACCTTTTCAGCGGTTTTTGCTATACCAAGATGTCCTCCGCTTGGCTCATCGTGAAACTCCGACAAGACATCTCTTATTTTAGAGTTTGGGACGACGATCAAGTTCCGGTGAGATTTACCGTCCTCACCTTCCCATTTGCGATATAAGCAACCATCTATTATAAGTAGACTGTCCCACTGGGCCCAATAGGATTTTAAAAGAGGGCTTTCGGAGGTAATTTCTTTACGACTAGGTCGCTTGCCGCTTTCTATGGCCGAAATTATTTTGCCCAGAATGGGATCTCTTCGTTGTTCCGTCGACCAATCTTCACCCGACTCAAACTGCAATAGTCGGACATCAACGATATTCTCTTTATTCTCAGCCTATGAGCAATGCCTGCCTTCTACCTTACATGGCCGACGAGACAGGGCATTAGCATTACCGTGTTTTGCGCCTTTTCTGTGCTCGATTCTGTTTGACGGTGACTCATTGGTGGACTGTTGAGCCATTCTTCTACCATTTTTCGTTCGAGGTGGTGACGATGACCTGGATCGTTTGCCTGGATCTCTTATTTTAGAGTTTGGGACGACGATCAAGTTCCGGTGAGATTTACCGTCCTCACCTTCCCATTTGCGATCTATTATAAGTAGACTGTCCCACTGGGCCCAATAGGATTTTAAAAGAGGGCTTTCGGAGGTAATTTCTTTACGACTAGGTCGCTTGCCGCTTTCTATGGCCGAAATATTTTGCCCAGAATGGGATCTCTTCGTTGTTCCGTCGACCAATCTTCACCCGACTCAAACTGCAATAGTCGGACATCAACGATATTCTCTTTATTCTCAGCCTATGAGCAATGCCTGCCTTCTACCTTACATGGCCGACGAGACAGGGCATTAGCATTACCGTGTTTTGCGCCTTTTCTGTGCTCGATTCTGTTTGACGGTGACTCATTGGTGGACTGTTGAGCCATTCTTCTACCATCTTTCGTTCGAGGTGGTGACGATGACCTGGATCGTTTGCGCTTAGCTCTGCATTCGCGCGCAATATGACCTGCTTTATCGCAGTTGTAGCATCTAATCCTGGGCTTAGTCATCCCTACTAACTTTGTTTCTTCTATTACCTGCCTCGTGGCGTCCTTGATCGAGCTAACGAAAGATTTGGGTTCGCAACATTCGGTCTCCAGTTGGCGAATCTGTAGATAGAACACACAACAATTATTCTTGCCGTTTCTTGGGCAAGGGCAAACGACAAGGTTTCGGCAAATGACGCTTTTGGTGACGCATATGTTGCACATTTAATCTCAGGGTCACGTATGCCATTCACAAAGGTTTCGATTTTCATACGGTCCAGCAATGGGTGATTCTCTGCTGGATACGTCATTAGCACCAAACGTTCCACCTCCGCTGCAAAGTCTTGTAACGTCTCGTTTGCCTTCTGTACTCTTCCCCTTAGTTCTATAAGGTAGGTGTTTTGTTTATGTTCGCCACCGTACTTACGTTCCAGTGCAGCAATAACATCTTCATAGTTGCTTCTAGAAGCGACAGGAATACTCTGTATAACATCAGCAGCACTGCCCTTCAATGCCAGAAGTAGTGCAACCGCTTTGTCGCTGTCGTTCCACGAATTTCTAGAACCCACTGTCTCGAACTGTAACTTGAAAACATTGAATGACGTAGAGCCGTCGAATACATGAGGTTTGATTTTTAGTGTGTTATTAGGAACTCGCACCGGACCACCCTTAATTTCCAGTTCCGACATTTTCTTCTCCAGATTCGTAACCCTTTGGTCGTGGACCAGAAATTTCTCATCCACAGACAGAATCTTCTCGTCAACCGACTGCACTTTCTTATCCAACTCTTTAATTTGGACCTCCACGGTTTCCACTCTCCTTCCAATAACTTCTGTAATGTTCTCGAGTTTCTCCATCATTCTTCTCGAATTTTCCTCGCTCCTTCTGTAATTTTCCTCAAACATTTTAGCCAGCATTTCTCTTAAATCGTCACCCCTGGCAGCTACTGACGAGACTTCCGCACCGTTGGATTCGCCCATTTCCGATAAATCCACTTCATCCTTACTGTCAAACTCATATGTATCGATGTTAATACCACGGCGCTCGACCTTGTTGCCAGTAGAGGACAATTCCAATTTATTGAGCTCCTTCTTCAAGTCTTCCACTCGTAGATCCTTAAACTTCATCGTAGTATTATCGTAATCCCACTTCTGACACCAATTGTTACGTTCTTGGATTTTACTTAATCCCGTGTAGACGTTGTTTTATTTCCCAATACAGTTCGTACTAAATAAAACGCGGGTTCTTTCTGATTACGATTATTACAATGAGTTTATTGACACACTTTACTTTGCACTTCACTTTACAGCTTTACGTTACTTGACGGTTTCAATTCGCGATCTGATTCACAACTGACTGACTGCCTTTCCATTTCCCCTATTTATATGAACCTTGCCTGTCGCTACAGAAGTTTCTA